ACAAGGCGAGCGGCAAGGGTTCGCGCTAAGGCAAGAGTGCTCAACCTAACGACATTTGTAACATGGAAATTTGTTCCTTGGCTCACCATCTGAGTTCTTAAAGCTATTATTTATTTTCTGCTGCCCCCGGTTATTTCTTTTATTAGTATTATTATTTAGAAAAGCGATCCTGTCAGCTTTTCTATTATTGTGTTGACAGGATCTCTTTTCTAAATTTTGCTTTTCTGCTGCCGAGCTGCGAGGCCTCCCTTTACGGAATACTCGATGACAGGTGATCTTAGTTGACCAGTTTCCTTCGATTCATTTGCTTATGTTCACCTTTCATTACGGAAACGTGTGCTGATTTTATTCGGATTTAGATCCATTTTTATCTCTTTGCCCTTGTCTACAGTGTGCAAAGAACGCGAGTTCACCTTCTTGACGGTAAGGCTTATGTTAGATGTGTTGTCGAAATACTCATATTCATTGTACATTGGTATGTTACAAGTAAGGCACTGGTCAGTGGCATACTATCGTTGGCAGTTCCCAATCTGGAGGGAAAGGTTCAAGTACCAATTGACCGAGTTTGCAAAATAAATTCGCATATCAGGGGAAATCTCTATTGTGGAGAGGTTCAGTAACTTGTTTGTTTCATACGAAACAAGCCAATGGGTGCAGTCTCGTCTCGTGAAAATCTCGTACTTGTATGATTGGATTTGTTTACTCAACTGCCCCGAATAAAGTTTCGTGCCGCCAAAGCAAGAATTACGATCTGCAATCTGTTTGTAGTACCTGTAAGAATGTGGAGTACATGTTACTTTCTCTGTTGCTGTTTCAGTTGCCGTCATGTTGCTAAAGAAAGGTTCAGTAGAGAGGTTCTGCAAAACGAAAATTCGAACGAAGTTTCGCGACAGTCCTTGCGAAAGTGTGTGCGAATTTTTGCACGAACTTAGCGTTCTGCACATTTTCGTAGTTTGCGCGGGCCAAGTATACGTGCGTCATGACCCGATCTCACGAAATTTCCTACGACAGTTCATTTCGCGTTCCCTGCAAGTTTCGCGTCCAAAGGTGCGAAGTTTCGCACTTCATGATGTAGAGCGAAAGTTTGTACGCAGAATCTCTCTAGTGACTCAATTGTTTCATACGAGACGAGTCAATGAGTCGGTGTGGCTTAGAATCTTTCGCTGTAGAAGAAATCTATTCGTATGTCTATTGGAGATATAATTGTATTCTCTGGTTATAAAATAGGTTAAGCTCACAGAATAAGTACCATCGGTCCCTTGGTGTTCGTCCTAAAGAGGTTCGACTGGATATCATTCATACTCACCAAAAGATGTGTAAGATTTTATTATTGTGGAGTGCCTTGTTTATCTCTCAGTGCCTCCAACCATAGCCTTGCCCCTTTTCTCCTCAGGATCAGTGTAGTTGTTGGAACGAGGTTTTGGACTCAGCAATGTATTCGTTTACATTTTAATACATGTTTATTGTTCCTCCTTTGCTGTATTGTTTTAGACAATCGTGGACTAACAGTTTGAAGTCATTGAACTACTTCCAAAAGTTGTATCGACATCAACAGGATTACGATTTCAGTTTCAATATGATGCTGGATGACCTTATCACGATAACCCATGACTATAAACCATTATAAACACAGAATCAACAAAAACATCTGCGACACGCACCTGGCGCGTGGCTACATTTCTCAAATAAATCTGATTGAGGGTGGAGAAATCTGAAATATCTGAAAGGCAAGACAATTGTATAACAGAGTCATGAAATTCTGCAACAGCAACATACACAGAATGACCTCCGTATAAAAAAAGTATCACCACCACTGCTCACATGTTTCCCCGCAGAAGAACATGCATTATGCTAGTGCCATTTCCTGCAAGAAAAGGCTTGCACATCAATGCGTATAATATGGTATTGATATTATTATTATTATTCATGGATGACATGGTGTCAACCAATATTATGAATGAGGGCTACCAGCCATGGAATAAAAGAACAAGAAGGCAAAAATGCACACGCAAAATATGGCAAGTTAAATGAAAATGAAAATGAAATAAAAGTAAATCAATCCAAAACCAAAATCAATTATAAAAATCATATGATGTGAAGGCCATCATTTACATATTGATATAGGGCATTTCATTGATTGGTGACAGAAAAAACAAAAGAAATTATAGCAATAAAAACTGCTTTATGGCAGTTTTCTAAAAAAAGTTATTGTGTTCTAGTCCATGGACCCCGTCTAAAAAGTAAGAAATTAACGAAATGTGATAGCTGAAAATTAAAATTTCACACAAAACCTCACAATAATCACACACACTCGGAATGAAAAGCTACATGCAGAAGACCTTTCCCCTCGTGATCCTCTTTCCTATTCATGCCTGTTGCCAATTGTTGGTGCAGTACAAGTTTAGTGTTGAAAGCAGCATTTCAAGTGTTGTGATTATTGTGAGGTTTTGTGTGAAATTTTAATTTTCAGCTATCACATTTCGTTAATTTCTTACTTTTTAGACGGGGTCCATGGACTAGAACACAATAACTTTTTTTAGAAAACTGCCATAAAGTAGTTTTTATTGCTATAATTTTCTTTGCCTTCGCTTTTTGTTATTGGGCAGCTTGCCCGTTAGAATCTGCGAAGTAAAATAAACAACAACAACAACATTGCTGACTACAAAGGGAGCATAATACTCAAATCTGTGGACAGCAACAGTTACTGTTTCGCTCTGTTAGAGCTCCTCAGCACAGCTCAGGGGACCGAAGCGCAGCTCTTCGCAATGAAAATGAATACGTTTCCGTGAAGCAAAACACTATCATACATGTGGTTAGCCTAGACACAAAAGTCAGGAATACCTTTCAAAGAAAACATAGATTGCGAATGATACCTACATTTACCCTTCCCGGACTTGACTCGGCTATTAATATTACTATTGTAGATACGCACAGGCATTTGGGTGTTGTATTTGACTCGCAATTGTCCTGGAATTCTCACGTAGATTTTGTATGCAACAAAGTTAGCAAATCTGTAGGTTGCCTGATGTCTCACTGCTCCCACTTGTCTCCCGAATGTATTCGTCTCTTTTATAAATGCTACCTCCTTCCTATCTTTCTGTACGGCGCCACTGCTTGGCATTCCCTGCTTAGTAAATCTGCTGTACAGACACTAGAAATACATCATAAACGTGTGTTGAAAATTATTTTTCGTAAACCCACTCTTTTCCCCTCTACTGAACTATATAGTTTGGCCTCCACCAGCCCCATCTCTATCCTGTCGCAGAGACAGTCATGCGTTCTGGTCCATCGTATTAAACTGAACATTGCCCCTGAACATCTCACCAAGTATAATTGGTTTACTTTCGCACGGGACACTCGCAATGGCATAGTACTTCCCAGAGCTTCGTCAACTATGTTTACCAAATCTCCTATCTTCTCTGCATACTCGTATTGGCTCAAGCTGCCCATGGAAATGAAGACAATATCCAATATTAGACAGTTCATAGACCATGTTAAATGTCATGCCACGTTGTAGGCTCGCTCGCCTCTTTTGCTAGCTTATCTCGCCGCTCTCCACCATGGTCAACATAGTGATACATTTCACCCCGCTGATGCATTATTTTCTTCCGATTATCATCTTCTTTCCTTCATTCTTTCTTCTTTCTTTTTTTTCTTCTCTTGCCATGGCTGGCTAACGCCCCCTCCTTTGCATTGGCTTCTGCCATTGGACGGTGAAATAATAATAATAATAATAATAATACCGACGAACAGCAATACTAAATTTCGCTGTTGTAGAGAGTGAACGAATATCTTCAGAAAAAAGGGGTGACGACTGCTTTGGGAAGAGAGTAGCTGGAAGTGAGACAACAAGGAAGGGTATTGGGAGAATACATGGTGGAAATAGACAAGGCCAAGAATCTGCCGTCGCCATGCTGACATGATTGTGAAACGAAAAGTACTTGAGATCCCAAGTAAAGTTACAATGTACCGGTAGTTGCAGGGCTGTAGCCGTGTAGGTCTACATGCCAAGTAGAAACCAAGCGACTACCAAGACGAACCCAATTTCCTCATGGATTATTTATTTATTTATTTCTGCACCTCGTGGCATGTCAAGACAGCCGATTGAATTGAGGAGAGGGTGAGACCAACCACGGAAGAAGAGAAAAAAGAAAATGAAGAGCACGTACACAAAGTGGGAAGGGATTAGCAACTTGCAAAGCAATGGGATGCTCAGCGAGCTATGCAGCGGAAGTGGTGACTGTGATTTTGTTTACGGGGAGATACTGAAGTGCTGTCTGACGAGGGTACGGAATTTGGGCATATCTGGAACTTGTCTAACACTGGGAGGCAGTTGGAGCCACGTGGAGGAGGAGGAAAGGAAAGGGGAATTTACGAATAGGGTAGACCTAGCTAGGGGAGACGAACGCAGCTTCGGGTGGTGCCACCTGACTTAAAGGACTGTAAATGAGCAGGGTGCTGGTCAAGAAAAATTGAATGTGCCAGGGTGCACTTGGAAGCATCAAGGTAGTGTTGCAGAGTGGTACTAAGTAAATGTCTGATTTGGCAGGCTTGCTCATCAGACGTGTGGCTGCTCACTGCGCTACGCTATGCGAGACACTCTGCAGGGTCTCCTCCGCTTCCGCGCGGAAATCTGCTTCCCGTACTCACCACTGCGAGTCGACCGACTCGACGGATCCGTGGCCAAAACCGTCCACCGGCAATGGTCCGGCATTGATGCATTGCCATGTTCGAATTTCGATGCCCTCTTCGCATTGGCAATTGGCCTCGCCTATCCAGAGCATCTACGGTACACCGTGCATACGTACACACCGCTTAGCTGTTGATGGAAAATATATTATGGACGACATGATGATCAGTTTCGTGATGCGAGCCGTACCGTATACGGTATGACAGTGAACCTACGATGCCGTAGGGAAAATTGTATACGATGTGGCTCTGTCCGGTGTGCATGCTGCATGCATGGTGCAGTTGGAGTCCAGGCCAGGCGACATGCGAAATCGCAAATCGGCTTGGTCATAGTAAATCAAACGAAAGGAGGTAGCGGTGCGGGCTATACGCGGTATCAAGCAGGCACGAGCACGAGCGGAGGTTCAACAGCGGCGATTTCTTCCATCCTGCTTCTTCCTGTCCTTGTCTTTCCCGGCCTCAAGTTCTTGTTCTGAATCTCCCTCGTCACGTAAGGTTTCCGGCGGCTTGGCCTGAGAGAGCAAGGATGTATTTGGTAATAATCGGCATCATTGGCGTGGGTGTTGCAGCGGTGTACTTCCTGTATCGCAAGCGTCACAATATTATACCGAAGAAGAAGGGCAGCGATCCGGGTGCCCTGTGGAGCACGAAAAACGGCAAGGAGCTGCTCAAGTTTCGCACGGAGCCCTGGAATGTGTACGATCAATGGCTGGATTCGCCCGGGAACATGTACAAGGAGATGGATAAGCCAGTGGTAGACCCCTACAAGGAACGTTGCCCCAACGGGTATACACGGTAAGAGACGGCCCCATATCATTTTCAATACCGTATTTTCTCTAATAAGAGCCCCAGGGTTTTTATTTTTTCAGTGACAGCTCTACCCGCGCTACTATTAGAGACTGGGCTAGTATTATTGGAGACTGGGGTCTTATTTTTTCAATTGTCAGCTATCAAGCCAACTCAGTCAGGCATAAACTGACCATATCAAGACTGATTTTTCAACCCTAAACTCTGGAATATTGTCAAAACAGATGTTTCACAATAGCATTGGCGCCAGGAAGGAAGCAGTAGACCGAAAACCTCCTTACAAATACATGTATGTTCTTGGCATGTTGTACTGCTGTTTTATATGCAGTCAATATACTTGTTGAACTTAGAAGTTGCGACTTCGGCGGTAATAGTCAGGAGGTTGGTTGCTCCAACGAGGAGCACACGCTTCTTGCCGAACTTGACACTTGACTGAGTCAGTCAAGTGTCAAGTTCGGCAAGAAGCGTGTGCTCCTCGTTGGAGCAACCAACCTCCTGAATATACTTGTTGCATACTCCAATTGTGACCGTGCCACTATTATAGACTGTGCTCTTATTATTTCGAACAACCCTCACCCTCAGCCTCGGCCAGGGTCATTATTGGAGACTGGGCTATTATTCTCGGAGACCTGGGTTTTTATTAGAGAAAATATGATATCTGACATTGACAGAAATTCTCATTAGTCATTAGCAGGGAGTAGTAAAATACCGGTATTTTACTACTCCCTGTTCATTTGTTGTTGTAACCTGTTACTTTATTTTACTTCGCATTCGTCTCATCACTCATAGATCTAGATCATGGTTACCAGCTGCACTGTAGGACTTTCTTCTCCTTCTTACTTTATTAATTTTCCTAGGGTGTTTGGCACAGACCCATGGTCAGGGTACAACTTACCGCCTGTTTGGGTGCATTCCTGTCACTCGAGTTGAACTCGAGTTGAACCTTGGTGTGAAAAAAAGTTGTCGCCTGCTGGCGCGGCGACCGGGTGACTGGCGTACACAGGAGCACGTGACCGCTTGTTCAACCATGTTCAATTGGGAATAAGGCCCGAACGCTGGCATCGCAGCCGTTTCGGACCAAACCAGTCGACTCAGCGTTCAAAAGACTACAACATATGGGCCAATCGCGGTCATCCGGGCTTTTATACGGATGATATGGCGCTTTTAGTGGCATTTTCCATACAAATCCCCATCTAGTAGGGCGCAGTCACCCAGTTTCGGTGGAAATGCGCGAGTTCGATTGGGATAAAGGAGGAAGGGAGTGTCTCAGCTTCCTCGGACCAAGACCATTCGACTCAGCACCCTGAAGACAACTGGTGAAAATTTGATTTTTAGGCTTAACTTCCCCTTTAACCCTTTCATGTAGCTCGTAGTATAGGGCTTGAAAGTGATGACGTCAAAAACGGCCAGGGAGTACTAAGTTGACATCAGATTTCTATTTTGGATCCACTAAGGTGTGACTTTGCTATTGCCTCAGTATGTGGGTGCATAGCAACCCACTCATGTCGAATGCAGGGGTGACTTTTACTTCGCCACCAGTTGCAACCCCGCCCCCAGTAGCCAAATCAGTCAGTTTCACTGGTTACATCACCTTGCTGTGAGTAAGACGGCTTGAAATGTGCTTGGATCCATACAAAAACTGGATCCAAGTGGATCCAGATTTTGAATTTTTGAAATTGTTGCTATGCTGTGACGTAGCACTTTCAAGCCCTATTGTGCCAGAGATCTAGCTCCATTGGTGTACTGCCCTTGCACCTACATGTAGGTCCAGTAGACTGCACATCGCTAAAAAGCGGCACTGGTTCTTTGTCCGTCCTAGTCTATGTCAGTCTCCCCCTGTCAAGGATACCAGTAGAAGGTGCCACGGGACGATATGCTAGCAGGTAGAGTTAATGCATCGCTTCGTCGTGTGGCACTACTTCCTTGAAATGAGGAAATTTTAGAATCCACTACGCCACGTCGTGAACGCTTGAAGGTAGCCGAAACAAAGTGAAACATCGCAGCAAGAGCCACCCCACCAGGCAGCTTGTCAGAATGATAGTCGGAAGGCTCGTAGACGTCTCCCCATAGCTATACTAGCCGCTCTGCAGTCCATTCAGAAAAAGATTATATCCTAGCTTTTGGCCATAAACGGGTCAAATTTTGAGTTTTCGTCACAATTTTTTTGGAAATCCCCCATGGAATGCTCTTCCAATTGTGTTTTTGAAGTCTATTTCCCCAAAAAGCAAGCCATTACAAGAATAGGATTTCGGCCAGGTTTTGCCCCCAAAGCACTGAATCGGTGAAAAACCATGAAAATCCAGGCCGTTCACTCCACTTGCATAACAGTACATTAGCGGTTCGAACCGCAGTTGAGGCACCTTTTTGGAACCTTTTTCAAGTTTCGAATCTCGCAGCACTGCACAGTGTACCACAAAATCGCCAAATACGGGAGCTCTCCAGAGCCACCGCTCATCTTTTTCTGAATGGACTGTAGTCGTGGCAATGATAAGGAACACAGCCACTATCATAATGAGGGAGTCTTCTTCGTCAAGTAGGTTTGGGCGCGCACGGAGACTGAATGGTATCCTGCTCATGTCCACATTCTCTGGAACGCTCCATTACGATACTTGGCAGTGCTGTGAAATCCCCACAACGATGAAAGAGGGAACACTGAAGAAGTGTCGCTCAAAAATAAAAGGCCTCTTTCTACTTCACCGCTTGCAAACCTGAAAGTGAAATATTTTCGCGATCGCGCTCGAGTAGAATTTTGCCAACTGTGACGTTTCGGTGATTTTCTCGATTTGTTGGCAAAACGCTAAGCCACTATGCATACGGGTTTGTGTGTGTCACCGACACGGACGTCGGCGCGCCGTAGCCCATTGGCATTGGCTTTGCACAGTGGTTGGCTATTGCTTCACTGACTCCGGCCGTCCGTGCAGTCAACTGCTCCAAGATCACAGTGTGCAGTTTTTTTCCCCGATGAGCATTGGATGTTAAATTTGTGTGCTTTCCATGCGTACAGGTTTGTGTGTGTCGCCGACACCGACACCGGCAAAATGGATATGGACGACATGGCCAAGGCCTTCAAGGCACTTCCGTGGGGCCACGTTCTCATTCACACTGGCAATTTCTCGCGTGCAGGCCACGTGACTGTCCTGGCGAAGTTCAACCAGGCCCTCGGCCAACTGAAACACGAGCACAAGATTGTCATCGCAGGAAACCACGAGATTTCCCTTGACAAGTACCCGCACACAAAGCTATTCACTGGCCAGCCTATCAAACAGTTTCACGCATATCGCCCAGAGGAGAATCCCGGATCACCAGCAAATGCTAAGGCCATACTAACCAATTGTACATTCTTGGAAGATTCAGAGGTCAAAGTTCGCGGATTCCGCATTTATGGGTCACCGTGGTAAGTCTTTGTTCTTTGTCCCGTTTTGAACCTACTTCGTGATTTCAGTTCACCATACATGGGTGATACCAAGAGTACATAACCATGTAACCATGGGTGATACCTATCCGTTTAACTTTTTAAAATTCTTTCCTTCTATGGATGTTGCATTTGCCATCCGTGATCACAGCATACTACATATGTGTGTGTATGTGTATGTGCATGTGTGCGCATGCACGTGTGTGTGTATGTGTGTGTATGTGCTAGCACATGCGCATGTCCATGTGTATGTGTGTGTATGTGCGTGTGTGTATGTGTGCGTGTATGTGTGCGTGTATGTGTGTGTATGTGCGTGCGCGCGCGCGTGTGTGTGTGTGTGTGTGTGTGTGTGTGTGTGTGTGTGTGTGTGTGCGTGTACATATTTTGGGGATTTCAGGGGGTGTCGGCCATTGGGTGGTTCAATAGCCAATTGAGTCATTTTCCAAGGTTCCTTTTGAGTCTCTCTCCCCTCTCCCGGGGAGACCCACGTTACTAGTTTTGGCAGTGAGCAAGTACAGTAGACTCATACGCCCAATAACGCGGTTTCAGAGGGCCAGCCTAGCAAAGTTCTTATTTTTCAGCGCCCCAGGCTACGTTCTTATTTCGCGTTCTTACGCGTCCAACAATACTCTACGTGACGCTCATGTACAATGCACTCTTTGCGCTACATCATTACATGTACCACTACCGGTTGTACACTTTACATGCACGTGTAGTATGTAGCGCTGCACTGGGTGATGTTTTCGCGAGGACCCGACAAGAGTTTGTGGTTGCGGACTTGTTTTTCGTGTACTCGGACAAGATATAGAAACGTCAAATACCAAAAAATGTCGCGTTCTTAAAAACCTTGGAGTTTGTTCTTAAATCCAGGCTGGGGCGTTCTTAGATTTCCAGCCTGGACGCCCTTGGGCGTACGAGTCTACTCTACAAGTACAAGTACCTAATTATTATGTGTAAGTGTGCAGTGTGTGTGTATGTGTGCGCGTGCGCGCGCGCGTGTGTGTGTGTGTGTGTGTCAGGGCCGGAGGCAGCTTCTGCAGAGCGGTGCGTCCGAAGGGTCATCTTTAAGGGGGTCTGGGGGTCCTCCCCGCAGAATGTTTTTGGAATTTAGACGGCAAATCCTGCACTCTGCGCGACTCCCTGTACAAAATCATACATCGAAACTTTTTCTCCCTGGTTTTGGACGTTCCACGTGGACCGACTTTTTGGGAAGTTGGTATGGCCATGGCCGTACTGGCCGTACCAGTGGCGCCGGCCCTGTACAGTCTGAGTGTGTGTGTGTGTGTGTGTGTGTGTGTGTGTGTGTGCAATGTGTGAGTGTGTGTATGTACTGTCGTGGACATAGAAACCCGGTCGCACGTCTAGCGGCCCCAGGGCGCTGGCCCCAGGGCGCTGGCCATGCAGCCGTGGATAAGCGGTACACACATGCATTTATGCGCTGCGGCCCGCTAGCGCTGGTCGGATCAACATGTGCACCGCACACAGCGTTCTGTACGCGCTGAGGGCGCCGGCCCCGGTAAATCGACTGGATTTCCATGTCCGCTACAGTACTTGCACTTGCGCATGTGTGCGTGGGATAGTGCGCAGGATTATCAATCAATATTCAATAGTGAATGTATTACTCCACCCCTCCTGGCTCTTTTGTTAATCATGTGCATGCAGGCATCCCATTACGGAACAATTCGGAGCGTTCACCGCCCATCGAGGAGAGGCCATCCTGAAGAAATGGAAAAAGATCCCGGATGGCATCGACATCCTTATGACCCCTGGTGCTCCATTTGGACACGGTGATGGAGTGCAGTTTTATGGTACTAATGTTACCTATCACTGTGGCTGCATGGACCTGCTGTCCGAGGTGCAAACGCGGGTCAAGCCAAAGATTCACGTGTTCGGCACATGCGACAAGGGTAAGCACATAGAGAACATGCTGCCACATGACATCACATCACATCACATGACATCACATGACATCACATGACATCACCTCTTTTAGACATACTAGTAGTAGATGTTGACTCATGTCTTTGTCTCCCATGCCCAACGGGAACAGGTATTGGAAACCTTACAGGAACGCCTTGTAACTTGTGAGTAAATTCATTAATCATCTCACCGGTATCCGTCCTGAAGGGGACTTGCAATAACCCGTCCCTCCGTGTTTGGGAAGATGCATTGCTGGACTTGGGATCTGTTGTCACTGGCTCCTGGGCTTCACCATCCATGCCATTAACTGTGTTTCTAACGCTTTGAACACTCCGATGCCGCGGTAGCATCATGCTGCATAGATTGAGAAGTGAGCATAACAGATTGCACACCGTCGACGCCTGGTAATCCCAAGGTGTCATCGAAATCAGTCACATCACCATGCGGCCTTGCACTGGCTGTGTTATCACACATGCGCGCACAGTCGTCCGCTATCGCTGCTGCGATTGCACTGTCGGCGCAATGAGCATGGGTTAAATGCATCTTCCGGCAAATGGCGATACGCACAGTGGTCAGCAGCTGTCGTCACGGAGCCACTGCATTATCTTGTGACAACTACACGCGATGAGACCGCTGTGTGGGCCGTCCCATCTCAATATCTCAGACCGCCGCTGTCGCCATTGTGCCCCAGATCCTAGGAACATAACCGAGAAGTCTTCAGATATATCTTGCAACCTACAATTGCTGCCCATCACAGCTGTTTTGCAGGCGACAGGATGTTAATTCCGACGTCTCCTTTGACCAGCGCTCACTGGCGCAGTCACACTTGCATCCTTGCAGCCGACTGGACGCCAGTCAAATCTGTCGTAAGCGACCGCCCCTTGGTGCAAGAAAAAGCGGTCTCTTACGGCAGATGGTCTCTTATGGCAGATGTATGGTAAATCCGGCATACTGGGCATGCATATATGCTTCCATATACTCAAATCGACAAGAATGATGTGATTTTTAATATCATTTTATTGGATATTCAATTATAGGGGTGCACAAACCCAAGAATAGTGCACATTCAAGGGCTAATCTTTCACATGTTCAGCCAGCTGTCAAGGCTTCCCTGTTCAAGTTTGGACTTGCGAAGCGTCTCCTCCTTGTAAATAATGTCAGTCGCCTGTGTGACCAGATCCAGTATGCTGTCAAGGCCTCTCGGCGGCAGGGCATACTTCTTAAGCACATCAATGTGCTGAACTGCCTGCTTACCAGAGATGGCGTTAGCGACCACTCCCAGAGATGGCGTTAGCGACCACTCCATCCTCTGTCGCTTTCGCTTTTTCGCCTGTTCAGCAGTTTCTTGCTGTCGACGCATCCTGTCACGAAGTCGGCGTTTCTCTCGCCGACTGGATCTTGGCTCCGTCGTTTCCTCTTGTCGGTGTAGCCTTTCACTAGCACAGCGACTGTGGAGGCGCCGTGACCTCTCTTCTACCGTTTCTTGCTCTCTGTGTAGGGACTTCTGCCGAAACCGGAGATAGTGGGGAGCCCATGGTTGCTCCTCTTTTTTTGCTTGTAGAACTGATCCTCGATTCTAAAATACGCATTGCTGACGCAGAACTCCGCCAATGTAATGATGCTGTTAACAGACAATGAAGTTTCTCGTTCACTTGGGTCCTGTGCTACCAGTTTCTCCCTGAGAATCCTCATTGTGGTGTCCATAGGGACTTTGGTAAATAAGCTCTTCACGTCGAAGGTGGCCATTATGTGGTTGGCGTCGATAGTAGTGTCCGTTATCTTTATTAGGAATTCCTGAGAATTTGTGACGTGTGTCGGTGACTTTCCTGTTAGTGTCCGTACCATTTTTGCCAGGAAACGTGCGAAGTGGTAGAGCGACGAACCAGTGGCCGCTACTATTGGCCTGAGTAGAATGCTGTCTTTATGCCGGGATCTTTGGAAGACCGTAAAAGTGAGGAGCCGTGCACGTCCGTGGGTTATGAAAACGCTTCTGGGAGCGAGATATTTCCTCTCCTCTCTGCATTGGGCTTAGGACTCTATGTAGTTTTTCTGACTAACCCATCTGTGGAATCCCGTGAGAGGAGGGAATATGTCATACTGTCCTTCAAATGGTTTTGAATCTTGTTGTTGTAGTCTGCTAGGTCCATTAGCACAACTGCTCGTCCCTTATCAGCTGCTAGCGTAGCGGGCCGCAGTCTCTCGGAGGCAAAATACTACAAGGGTCTCAGTGAACACACTGTTATTTATTAAAAACTGAACTGAACTGGAATGAAGATTGAACTCTAACTCTAACTCTAACTCTAATTGAAATGTAACCTTAACTGGGGATGAAAAGAATTGTGAGCAGCAGCTTTTATAGACAGACAGACTCCGTACGCTCACGTACGGTGATACGCTAAATATACGCTATTCGCTATACACTACAGCAGTACCTTGATTGTTTGTAATTTCCGGAGGTTACGTAGTGCTGAAGCTTACCGTCTTGTTAGATTCTGGGAAGGTCTAGTGGTAGCGTCAAGGGCTTCTGGTACTCTCTTGCATGTGGCTATTTTCAGGCCACGGCGATCCTCTGGAAGTGTGTTTGCCCGCATCTCCGTTTGGAAGTGTGTTTGCCCACATCTCCGTTCTGCTGGGTAATTGTCTCTTCTCTGGGAACTCTTTTGGGTGGGAGAGCGAAATCAAGGCCCAGTTTCAGGAGGTCTGTATTGTTAAAAAAGACACCTTCTCACGACAGTGTCATGGTGATGACAGTGTAACTGTTGTCAGCTGACGAGCTGAGAGAGGGACGCCATGGGCAGAAGTTGAAAAAGGAAGGAAAGAGTATAAAAAACAGAGAAGGAAGAATAACAATTCAGAACAAACGCGACGGTACAACAACATTTTTTTGTTACAAGAAGACCTGAGCAACTCCCCCTAGCACCCCCCCCCCCCCCCAGTATAATGAGGGTCAGAACCGGGGCTAACATTCATGCGGTTCGGATGGTCGCAAGGCTGGGTACCAACTGTGGATTGTTGTAGTAAGGGGGCACTGTTTCCGAACACGGTGGTCTTCCGCCTTGTAATAGGCCGTTTACACGACGTGCAAACTCACTTTTATCGTACCATTTCCAAGGAATTTTAATGGCATACGATAAACTTGGACACACGCTGCATGCAACTGATTTTTGAACTTGGCTGGGGCCCTTGTGCTCACGATTATACTTTGCATGCCAGCAAAAGTGTCGGTTGTTAAAAGTGCGTACTGCAAATGCAGTGCTTGAACAAAGGATTAACATTTTCCGGCATTTTCAGGTCGCTATGGATACATTGATGGTTGCAAAGTTTGCCCAGCACCGTGTGAACTGGATCACGGTTTGCCAGTGTTATCTTGGTCACACCCATGCACGTGTTTGCACGTCATGTGAATGGCTTATACCATGCTGTCAACCAACGACACGAATATACATGTAGCTGTACATTCCTGGAGAATTAAGACGCACACCGCTAGATATTCTAAGCACCACACCACTTGGAACGAGGTCGGTCTCGTTGTCCAGGGGACAACCAATCTGCGCCATTCTTGCTGCAAGGGCCTTATCATAGTGTAAAGCCCGCTCAATCATAGTTTTACATGTACCACTCTTTGATGACACGCTCAGCTGATCAGGGCTTTGGATTACTAGTACAAGTCTAGTTTAAAGCGCGCTCAATTTTAGGTGTGCACAACTTATGTACACTTTATAGTAGTTGTAGATAATGAACTCTTAATCTTGCAGAAAACGTACGGTGTACGACTAAAAGCTACGCATTTCAGAAGTGCGTACGGTAATTGGCTCCCATATTCTTTGATCTGTACGGTTTTCCTTTGTCCACAGCTAGCAGAACCCTATAACTGAAGCCCTGATATCGAATTCATTATATGTATTGAAAAGGTGCTCTCGAAGCCCCTAAATAGCTCCACAAGCTATCAATAAGAATGAAGCTTACAATAAGAAACTCGGATGTTGAGCCATAAATAAATGTAGAAAGGAAAAGGACATAAGGATACGAGTTAAGAGTAACTCTCCATCACTGTAACTGGATACTATATACAGTCAGAAAGTGCAATAACTAGCGCTGTTAGCGCTACGGAGATGTGTTGAAGCTAGGTGTCAGGACGTCGAATGTCTCAGTACTCTTGTCAGTTTTGTGCCTAGTTATTGCACTTTCTGACTGTATATAGTATCCAGTTACAGTGATGGAGAGTTACTCTTAACTCGTATCCATATGTCCTTTTCCTTTCTACACTTACAATAAGAGCCCAGCATTTAGTTTGTTTTGATTCTCCTTTTAGTAGTGTTCAGCGGTGTTAAGCTACCCTAGAAGAAAATGTGCTATCATACTATGCCAATTCTCTCTCTCCACACAAACCACCAAACTACCCAATATAAGAAGGGTACACAAGTATAATACGTTCTAGGTCTTACGTACAAACTCAATTGCCGAAGACATAGCTTGAAAAATTAACTGCTTGGTCAGCTTCTATGCAAGGGGATAATAACCTCGTTCTAAAATAGTTAGTCACGCAGCATGGTAGGTCGGGCCTTACGGCTTGTTTTCGCCCTTCAGGCTAACCTGTCGGGCACTAACAAGCCATAAGGCCCTCCCTGCCATGCACTAACCTATAATAATATTAGTATAAATATATGTGGAAGAGAAAAGGACATATGGATACGAGTTAAGAGTAACTCTCCATCACTGTAACATCAGGGGCGTCGGAACCGGTGCGGCAGGTGCGGCCAAAGCCGCACCAATAATTTTGGAAGTTTTTTTATATTTTTTTTTACATTTTCAACCTTGTTGATGGCTTGTCGACTCTTTTACAGGTACAATGTTTTACATCGACAATGCGGTGTGTCATCAGCATGCATATTCTTATTTCTCATATTATTCTGTAGCATTAAAATATGGCCTTTCAGGCCCAATTTTCAAAAAAAATCCCCGGGGAGGACCCCCGGACCCCCTCTCACACTTTCGCCGCACCAATGTTAAACTGCTTCCGACGCCCCTGAACATGATACTATATACAGTCAGAAAGTGCAATAACTAGGCACAAAACTGACAGAGTACTGAAACATTCGACGTCCTGACACCTAGCTTCAACACATCTCCGTAGCGCTAACCGACAGCCTTCCAACTTGGAACAATCGACATTCTTTGTTCCGTTGGGACTGTAGCTTTTACTGTAGCTTTTGCTCGTTTTCGTTGCGCTTGCCATCCCCTCTTTGGTCTTTTCCATAACCTTGAACCTTCCAAGTTGGAAGGCTGTCGGTTAGCGCTACGGAGATGTGTTGAAGCTAGGTGTCAGGACGTCGAATGTTTCAGTACTCTGTCAGTTTTGTGCCTAGTTATTGCACTTTCTGACTGTATATAGTATCATGTTACAGTGATGGAGAGTTACTCTTAACTCGTATCCATATGTCCTTTTCTCTTCCACATTTATTTATGGCTCAACATCCGAGTATAAATATAGCAAGCCATTAAGTACACTGTATATCCTCGAAATTCACAGACAGAAGAACGAGCAGTTATGGTTTCGAAATTCCTCGTATCCTCGAAATTCAAACTCTCACTCAATATGCAAAAACGAAACTAAACCTCTCCGTGCATACTCACTGCATTTCATGCTCGTCCCCATATATTATTCCCCCCAGCATATATTAACTAGGGTTTACCGGGTGTTAGCGGCCGTCGTGAGTTCCCTTCCGGAACGGACACGATAATTTACTTTTTATTTACTTTTTTTATATATTAACTTGTACGGTACTGACTTGCAAAGCAATACCGCAACACGAACATATACGCTGGTGTCTTGCTCCCTTCGACGACACTGTCCGATACGCTACTACAGTCAACTTTGCGTATAACGACACTCGAGGGGCATCAGAAAAGTGTCCTTATTCGCGAAGCGTCCTTATACCCGAAGTCTCATTATTATGTATTACAGTTAAAACACAAACAATAAGAGGACAGAGAACGTGTTTTAACTCCGAGTTTCACGCACTAAGCGATCATCAGAAAACAGTAACAATAAATTACAGTTAGATGGGACTTTGCTCAGGGCATGGAAATGCTGTCGTTATCCGCAAACTGTCGTTATATCCGCAGTCGTTATAGCGTCGGAAGTTGACTATATGGTACCATCATGTACGATACATGCAAAGTTCATTACTTTGTCTTACCAATTATGACCGGTTTCTCAATCTGCTTCTCCAGGTGTTGCTTCCAGTACTGATGGAGTGACATACTACTTCAACTCAGCCTCTGACCCAGAAGAATCGGCCGATTCAACATCCTTCAAATACTTCGTCTTTGATCTACCCGACCGCAAGGTGAAACTAATTTGATCGCCGTGCCCAATCTGAACTGCAGGTATGGGATGTTGGCACGTTGCTGACCAACTTACCAAGAAGCCATGCTTCATCCGGCATAACTGCCCGTGCTTCTCAAGATATCTGAGGACAGCTCGCAGCTGCTGATACGAAATTGCATCCCGTACTTCTCCTCAAGATATCTGAGGACAGCTCGCAGCTGCTGATACGAAATTGCATCCCATACTTCTCCTCAAGATATCTGAGGACAGCTCGTAGCTGCTGATACGAAATTGCATCCCGTACTTCTCCTCAAGATATCTGACGACAGCGCGCAGCAGCTGCAAAGACTGCACCCCGTGCTAGTTCACTGATCGACATCTTCATATAACATCTCTTTTTTCTTCACGTTGCTTTTAGACCATGCCATAATCACATAGAACATACTCGTATCTAAACCGCATGCACGAATGCTATCTTTGCCAACATTACACTGTTCTTGAACTGGGTCTCATCCATCTCCATCTCTCCCTGCATGCCAATCTTCTTGAACACACACACACACACACACACACACACACACACACACACACACACACACACACACACACATACACATACACACACACACACACACACACACACACACACACACACACACATACACATACACACACACACACACACACATACACATACACACACACACACGCACACACACACACACACACACACACACGCACGCACCAGACTACTAAGCCGGACTGACTAAACCTTTCACTGCTTGGAGCACTGAGTTGCACATGTGCGTGTGGACGTGGGTAACTTACGGTTGTGTGCATGCATGTGTACATTACTGCACACACAGCATGTACCACTATCGAGGTTATGCGACTACATCATCAGTTGAGATGTGTTGGTAAAATCACGGCACAGCGCTGCATATAGTGCCCATAAGCGGTTCCGCTGACTCATCCCCATTGCATGAAAATCATTCGCATAACCTCTATACTCCACGAAGTGTTAACTTCAAAGACCCAAGTGCCATGCATCAGTATGTGTGTCATGCGTTGTGAGCTGCCTTTGGACAAGTAAGATCCCGGGTTCGAGTCCTTGTGGGTCGAGTCCTTGTGGGTCTGGCATTTTTTCTTCTCTTTTCAGGCAGTTCGCTTACCCGACTGATCCTTTGAAACTTGAAGTTCCCCTAAACCTTTAGCATATGAATCACTTTCTTTCGCCTCTGGTAGTACGTCTTGAGAATGTCCCCCGAAACGCCCGCGCACAAAGCCATGAACATCTACTTGACCCAAGACTCCCGAGGCCGGCCAGGGCGCCCAAGAAAGACGTTGGCAACCAGCGTTGCGGAGTACATGAGAGAGAGGCCGGAATGACTTTCATCACAGTGCGGGATCTCGACCTGGCGACCGAGCGGGCAAGCCTTTGGAGGGACAAGCCGGCATGGATAGTGATGGTCTACAACTAATGATACTGAAGTAGAACAACGGAAAGATTCATCAAGAGACAGAAGCGGACCGAACATTAGTGTTGCACAATATTAATGTTCCATTACGCGCAACTGTGTTATTATTATTATTAGTACCGTAAAGTACCGCCAGAGCGCCCCACCATCTCGTCCTTTCGTGGTCGTATTGTGGAGGTGGTCTGCTGTCTGTAGGTCATACGACATGAACCTTGTACACATATTCCACATTTTGCAGTCAATCCGTACCTTCGAGCGGACACAAGCTCCACACAAAAACCTGCCAAGTGTGCCCTTACTACTCCCTCCCTTAGTACACATCGTACAAACTTCATTGCACTCTGCCATACGATTTTCCTTTCCCTGGCTGTATAATCAAGGTGGGGCGCTCTCGCGAGACGGGGCGCTCTGGCGGTACTTTACGGTAGTAGAGAGGTTCTGCTATACGTGAAACGTAGAGAAATCACGTAGAGAGCAGGTGTCTGGGTTAGAGTCTACGGCTTCGCGTGTTTTGGCTCCAGATTTCTACGCGGAGATGAGGTTCTCTACGTTGTGGCACACGCAGAGAAAATTCGTACGGATTTGCTGGGTATCGATCAACTGCATGCAGAAAACTGCCAAATATGGAAGGGGAAATTCCCAGTACACATTCCACGTGGCTTCTCTAGGTGAAGCGTAGAGCAGAACAGCATTTCTTTACGTTACGGGAACGCGAAGAAAGTTCGCGTGATTCTTTGCGTCGCGTTCCCAACACGTAGAGCAGAACCTCCCTAGTACCGTAAAATCCCGCCAGAGCGCCCCTACCTCCTCGACGCTTCAGGTGGGGAGGGGCGGATGGGCGAGTCCTACTTGCCGCATTCAGTCACTGCTTAGTACATGAAAAAGTACTCACCCTACGAAAACTGTTCATGCATCTCGTACACCGACCAAAGGTCAAGCAAGAGCCAGGAGTCGAACAGACCCGACAAAACGCAGGGTTTGTGCGATCCTTGGTCAGGAGGGTGGGCACTGTTGCGTACATTTCCAACGGGGTCGAGCACGCGTCTGCAGTGCAGTACGGCATCACAGACTGCGACAGAGTCATACGAGTACGAGGATACAATCAATCACGTCCCTGACAAGAAGTCAGGGAGGGATGGGAGAGACGGGGCGCTCTGGCAGGATTTTACGGTAGTAGTAATAAAATAAAAAAAGTGAGTTTGCTCCCACACTGGAGCTCGCGCTATCCCGCAGACACTCCGCATGCAGTATTGATGCAGTAACCACCGCCACCGCAGTAACCACCGCGTTCCACAAGGTTATCACGGACACCAGCCGGCCGCAAAGTCTCCAGACCACCCCCACAGCAATGTCTCATCTCCTTCCCGCTGGTTACTGTCAGGGAGTTAGTTGCGCGGTTACTACGATCAATCAACACGACCAAGGCCACAGGAAGTGACGACATACCCGGTTTTGTACTGAAACATAGCGCTGATATCCTTGCCCCTTCACTGGTCACACTGTTTAAATGCGTCCCTGTCCAGCGGGAAAGTGATTGATTGTTTGATTTTATTTTACTTCGCAAGTTCAAACGGGTTCCTGGCCCAGTTATATGAAAGCGAAGGATAGAATTTGCCAAAATCCTAATGAGCAACAGCATAGACAATATTATCATAGAAGTGAAGTACTATGCGAGCGAGAATACTGAGAAGAAAAGGAACATGTCAAAACCTGACGAAACACAACCTATTTCAGGCATACATAAGGAAGGCAGGCTAGCTTAAAATCTTGCAATCTGGATACGGTGCGCACCTCTCTAGGCAAACTTTTCCACACTACAGCAATGCTCCTGCGGTGGCGAATCTCGTTCGGCCACACCGACTGCGAGCTGGCTGGCTGAGCAGACCATTGGCATGCTGATGGCGCGCACTTCTGCCGCTGCATGCTGCTGGTTTGAGAAGCTGGGCTAGAGCAAGGCTAGTGGAGTCATTTAGACACCGCCAGATGAAGATCAGGAGCTTTTGTTTAAAAAGTTCAGTGACGTGGTAAATCGAGTTGGCAGCCAGGAGGGGCTGCATCGCGGAACATGGCGGGCTGCCATCAATGCATCGGATCGCACGGTTTTGCATGGCTTGCAGACGCTGAAGTTGGGTCACGCGGAGGGCTGCAGAGAAGCAGCAGGCACCATATACCATATCCGGCATGACAATAGCCTTTACATATATCTTGCGCGAGCTGCGGGAGAGGCATCGACGGGCTCGCCACAAGGCGCCAATCTTCCTCGCAGCTTTGGTCACTATGGCGCTGACGTGTACATCCCAACTCAGGCGGTTGTCAAGAAAGACACCAAGATACCGCGCAGACTTCACTATCGGTAGAGAGGTATCGCAGCACACGATAGAGACCTCAGGCCCAGCATGTTGCGGTGAGATAGTCATTACCTGGCTTTTGGAGGCATTTATAATTAGGCCGCGTGACTTAAGCCATATGGTGAGTAGCCCTTTCCCAAAGGTGCTCTTTTAATTCGCACTTAGTGCTTTTCGCGTCCCTCAAAATATGCTGAAAAAGTGCTCCTTTTTTAGTGAAAACAGGCAAAAAGTGCTCTTTTTTCAGTGAAACATAGCCATGATACATGTTCAGATACAAGTGTATGAACCCAAGCTGAGAAATGAATACGCACTCTTCCATTTTTATGGGTCAACGAAAGGCAAAACAGGAACTAAAGTTCAAAAAACCCACTTTTTACAGCATTGTCTACACCGGGTACCGCGGGTACAAGCTTCACCAACTTGTTGCCCCCCCAAAAAAGCGGCGTGCCGAGGCCCATCGAGTACTCGGAAACTGTGATCGCATGCATGAGCAAACAGATTTTAGCACTTTTTCAGCTAAAAAAAGCTCAAAAAGGGCGATATTCACCAAAAACGCAGTAAAAGGGCGAAAGAACCGGGCTTTTCCAAAAAGGGCCAAAAAGGCGAAAAAAAAGGGCGAGCACCTTTGGGAAAGGGCTAAAGGCGAGATCAGTGACAGCTGAAGAGACGGATTTGGAGACTTCCCCAGCGGAAGCTTTTGAATCATACAGGGCAATGTCGTCTGCGAATTGCACGCTGGGTATTGGCGATGAGACCGATTTCACATCACGGGTGTAGACGTTAAAGAGAACAGGCCCCAAGACGGAGCCTTGGGGCGCACCACAGGTGCAGTCAAGAGCACGACTTGTGGTCGAAGCGACTGTAACTTGCTGCTTGCGATCTGTCAGGTAATTCGCGAACCACTTCAGGGCGACACCAGACTCAGTGACCAGAGATACCAACGTCAAAAAGGTCTTGGATGAGGATACCATGCCGGACTTTGTCAAAAGCCTTGGACATGTCGAGGAGGCACAGCCCCGTTACCAGACCACTGTCCTTCGCCTTCTGCAAGCTGTCCGTGAGAACACAGAGGGCATCCTCAGTGGAGCACTTTTTCCTGAAAGCAAACTGAGAATCAGGTAGGGCATTACTCAAGTCTAGATGGCGAACTAGCTGACGCTGCACCACTCTGTCCAACAGTTTTGAGACAACTGGAAGGAGGGAAACAGGGTGATAATTGGTGGGGACTGATGGGTCCCCGGTCTTGTAAAGCGGTACAACGGTCGCCAGCTTGAACGCCAAAGGAACCGTGCATGTGCGGAGGGAAGTGCAAAACAGTACTGCTAAAGAATATGCCAATAAATCGGAACACTGCCGCAATAGCGAACCCGGTATGCCGTCACTTCCCGTAGCTTTGCGAGCATCTACCTGCTGAAGGAGACGTTGAACGTCCGATGGAGTTACAGGGGAGAACTCGGTTAGGGAGACAGGCCCGTTGGGGCCACACGGAACGCCGAGATGGTCGGGTCGGTTTGTGTCTGTAACAATAGAGTGGAACGTGTTGCTGATCTCATGGACGTCGCAGCACGGATCTTGACGGCACCGTGAGCGCCCTGTCACGGCATTGAAAATTCGCATGTGCCTTGGGGCCTGCCGTGTAGTCCGGGGAACATCGACCTGGATATTGCACTCCACGGCACTGTGATCACTGATATCAAGAGGTACGACAGTAGGTATACAGTTGCATAGGTAGGGTCAGCCAGAATGAGATCAATTATAGTACCATTCGGACAGCGGGGAGTTTCACGAGTGGGTTCTCTAACGATGTTCTTGAGGCCATAGGCGGCACAGAGGTCACTGAGAATGTACTGCTGGGGACCAGGCTGTTTTGGGTCCATGTTGACGTTGAAGTCACCAACCATTGTAATGGAGGCCGATTGCAGCTTGGCACGCAGGATCACCGCTTCTAGGTCTGTCCAGTAAGATACTGATTCCCTGGGGGATACAACCAATCCAGTGGCAGCCAAGTGGACCTTTTATTTCCAACCAAGCAGACTCGATCTTGTAGGAATGAAGGTCAAGACGGGCTCGAATAGGAAGGTCTTGGTGGTAATAAAAGCAGACCCCACCACCCATCCGGCCGTGCCTGTCATTACGGTGTAAATTGTAATCATGGATACTAAGTTCTCCGCCTGCAATTTCGGGACTCAGCCACGTCTCCGAGATACCCAAGACATCGTAGCTGCGGTCGTGGATGAGGGCAGCTACTTCTGCACGCTTGTACCGTAGGCTACATATGTTTAGGGCGCCGATCTTGAGAGGCGCAGCGGTCTGGGTAGGTGGAGGGTGTACTGAAGGTGACTGTGCATGCGGAGTGGCAGGATTCCTAGGGGAGAAGGGTTTGGCAAGAAGGTTCAGCGGCATGAGTGTTCAGGAGGAGATAATTTACAGAAGAAAACGGTATATACAAATAGAGCAATAGGTGGGCTGGGTTCATAGAATGTGGACAGTTTTCGACGAGTACTTACTCAGTGGCTTCCTCTGCGGGCAGCTTCAACTCTCTCTCTCTACCAGCTTCTTGCGCTCACGGTTTGAATACTCCTGAGCCCACGCAATTTGCGGGTCGTTCAAGGCAGAGGCAGGTGGTTCAGTGCGCCCGGAATGCCGAGAGGTCTCAAGCTAGCCCACGTCACACCCCTGTTCAAGGCCGGAGACCCATCCGTGCCCACAAACTACCGCCCTGCGTCGCTGCTACCCGTGATCTCTAAGCTACTCGAAAAGCTGGTGCAGAAAGCCCTGGTTGACTTCGCCGACCCAGCTCTCCCTAACACCCAGTTTGCATTCCGCCCTGGACACTCGACCGAAGATGCGCTGGCACTGCTCTCGGACACCGTCCTCCAAGCCCGAGACAACGGTTCTGTTGTAGCAACATGCCTGTTAGATATGAGTAAAGCCTTTGACAAGGTGAAGCATGCCACCCTCATCCAGGACTTGTTTAGCATCGGTATCTCCGGCACAGCCCTGAAATGGTTTCGGGACTATCTGTCTGGGCGCCATCAACGCGTTCGTATGGGCTCCAGACTGGGCAGAACTGTACCGTGCACTTGTGGTGTACCGCAGGGCTCTGTACTAGGAGTCTCCAGGACCCATGCTGTTCTCCATATACACCAGAGATGTCCCCTCTGAATCTGCGTCGGCATCATCACTGCAGTTTGCGGATGACATCGCCCTGACATGTGCAAGACGGACAGCGCAAGAGGTGTCTGATGCGCTCAGCTTGGCGGTTACCTCCCTCTCAAGTTGGCTGGACGCTCGTAGTCTTCTATTATATGCAAAGAAGAGCAATGTATTGGTTTTTACCAGCAGCAGTGGGCAGCAGCCGGACGTGGTTGTACGCTGTCGAAACGATGTCCTTCCGCACACCACCAGCGCGAAACACCTCGGCGTCTTGATCGATGAACGAATGGCCTGGCAACCGCAAGTTGACCGGTGCATCTCACGCACTGCTAGGAAGATCGGTAGTCTGTGGCGGGCGCGACGCTGCCTCACTCTAGCTAGTCGAAGCAAGTACTTCCTATCCGTCATCATGCCGGATTTGATATTTGATATATGGATCGTCCGCATATGGCTCCGGCTTGACCCACAACCAGCTTAACCGCTTGCAGGTGGCCCAAAACCGCGCAGCAAGGGCGGTGTTCGGACGACCACGATTTACCAGGGCCAGTGACCTCTTGGAGAGGCTCTCTGTTTATCGCGTGGACGAGGCATATCGCCAGAAACTGCTCGTGTTGGTATGGCGGTGCGTTCATCACCGTGCCAGTCCTGCTCTGCAGGCACTGTTTGTTCGCAACTGCGGAGCAACTCGCCTTCAGCGCAGTCTGGGCCTAGTTTACAACAACCAATAGCCAGAAGCCGAGCAGGCCAATGCCGACCGGCATCTCACGGTTGCCTGTTATGGAACCATATCTGACACGGTGCGAGCCATGGGCAACATCCCAGCATTCCGCCGAGCTGCCATTCCCTACACGTTGTAGACTGCTACACAGTTGGCCATACCATGGTGTATTCAGTACCCACGAACTTTGCAATGACAATGTACCGTGGTGCATGCACCGATGATACCACCACTTCGTAGACTGTCTCCCGTTCATTTCTGTGCTCCTGTCTTTATTCTCGTGAGTTTGTGTACATGTACTCGTTTTGCTGTTTGTTTGGTTTTAATACTGTAAAATCCATTATTCTAACGAGGCGCATCTAACGATTTCCCAAAATTGACTAGTTTACGTGTACCAAACTCCAAAGGTAACGATTCTCACTCATTCTCGGCGCTCAACAGGACAGTATACATGTATGTATGGATTTCTGTATGATGATTTCTATTTTAAACGACAGATTTCTCCTCGTTAACTCGTTAGAGTTAGCACTTCGTTATTATGGCTTTTACAGTACTTGAATTCGCACAGTAAACGTATGGAATCAAGCAAGAGTACTACGAGTGTGAGATGTATAGTTTAAACCGAACACGGATTCTTCGAACGAATAATCTATCGAATAATTTCGCCCTCCATCGAACGAATAATCTATATTCTATCATACGCATGATGGCATTTTTCAACACTTTTTCAGCACTTTTTAAGTAGTTTTTTTTAATTTTTTTTGCTGATTATCGGATTTTGTTATGTGGAGGTGCAAAACCGGCCCCGGACAATCGACTGGATTTCCATGTCCGCGACAGTACATGTATATCTGCCAGTATGTGCACTGGCAACTACAGGGTGCAGACATGACAGAAAAGCACAGTATGGAGGAAAAACGTTCACGGTTCACGTGAGACTCGGCTAGAAGCCGAGCTTTCCGCATCGGCAGGAAAGCCACCACCCTCTTGGATCAAGGCGCAGATGCAGCTCCTAAAGCGGTGTGGAGGGGGGGGGGGGGGGTGGGGTGAGCAGATCAGACCCACCACAAAGTGGTCAAAGACCGAAAATCACATAATCATTCACTGCATCCATGTTTCTCTCGTATTATATGGAAAAAACAGAAGTATTACTAGATACCGATAGGAGAAACTAATACTTGGAGGAGAAGAGATTGAGAAGAAATACTGCGAGCAGATCTACGCAGTGCAAAGTAGGGTCAGCACTGAGCATAGATGGTTTTTTTTTTTTTTTTTTTTTTTTTTTCGATTTCTGATAATTCCTACGACTATTCGATTATTCGTTCACCCCACGAATATTCTAAATTATTCGATTGTTCGATTATTCGTTTCAACACTAATTATTTTATTATTAATCATACACGGTCTGGAGGAGACAAGAAGACAAGAGACAAGAAGACAAACGACATTCCTTTCTACATGCACTTCCACTTCTTTCTTCAAAACCCGCGCCTTGTCACATTATTGGCTACATCTCGTTGCCACTTGACCACGGGCATGATTGTCAATCATACCTGAAGTGACGTCAGTGTTGCCAAGGGCAGCGGGCATGATGGCTGAATCATGCCCCCGGCGGGAAAGGTGGTGATTAGACAATTCCAAGGATACGGTCACGTGTCATAAGAACGCCTAATCACAGCCCGCCGCGCGAAGGGCTGTGATGTAGGCTGATCGAACACGAGTAGATCTACATGTACGAGTGTTTTGATTGCATTTCTGACATGCACCCGCGCTTGAAACTCATATCGGACTTGAGTAAAAAAAAGCGAGCTTGATCAGTGAATCAAAGCCCTAGTGGAGCGGGCTTTGATGGGAAAATCAAAGCCCGCTCCACTAAATTTAATATGGAGTTCTACTTCTTGTAGCAATACTAGCATGCTTTGATGGCCTCATCTAGGCCCTGCTAGGTGCAATGCGATTGGTCATCTCCGTGCCTACAGTCTTGTGACATGTCAGAAGTGTACTTCAGCTAATCTTCAGCTCCCCTAGGCCCTCCCTCTTCTGGGTTTGACTCTCCGCTGGCCTTCTCTCCTCCCATCCCCGGCCTTACATAGTATTGGGCCTCCGCCTCCGCAGCCCCCACCACTCCACGCACACACTACATAAAGTCACATACATAGCACAACTCAACCATGATTCGCTAGCACTCCTGCTTGTTTGGTCTCGCGAATCCAAATAAAATCAATCAATCAATAATATCGCTGGTAGTCTAGTAGTATACGATGGCGTCGGAATGCACTCTGTGACGGGGATAAATCAACCCGTGGCTGAATGCGTTTGAGCACGATTAGTGATAGACATTTCCGGAGTACCGAAAGCAATACGATTGGCCTTGTGCTGGAAAGTGGCCCAAGAGGTTTCCGGGTTTCTGCAAGAGGATGAGCGTGCTTATAGTATACTGGCCACACCGCAGGACAACGAGATGCTGTGTCGCGATTGAAAATTTCGATCACTTTGACAGGCTTTTCAAGCGAAAACTGCCCACGGTAATCATGATAATCAAGTCGGTCATATCTGACCAGTCTAGTTACTAGTAGTTCTGAGTGAAGTCGTTCAGTCCTGCTGCTCCCGCGTTCCGCAAATCTGCCGCTCGTCGTTCCGATGGAGCGTTTGCTCGGATCATCCAAGAAGGAGCCTGTCGGTGTGGTAAGAAAGTCGACAGGGGATTTTCATGATTTTGGGAAGTCCTTGTTCTCATTCTCACAGTACTGCAACTACATAAATAATTGTACTTCCTCCGCGTCATTTAAAAAAATGTCGTTTCCCAGAGCGATTTTTCAAATTTATTTTCAGCCCACTCAAAGGGCAAAGAAATCAGCTAGCATTGTCGACGGACCAAGCTTTAGTTTGTGGCCTCCCGCTTCGCTGCACTTGCACGTAAGGTCGACGTCTTCATCATAGTTTGAAGCAGACCCTTCAGCACTCAACGATACGCTGAACAAGACGCGCGTTGAAATTCAAGTCAAGAAACTTCGTTTTCAAGCGATACATGCCTCCATGATCCAGGTGGCAGGCGATGACGGCAAACTAGCATTTTTCTAGTACAATGTAACGACCTTCCAGTGGGATAGGGTAAGCAATTCCGCACCTTCTTTCCTTGGCAAGCGCTTCGCTGATGTTGTTGGTGTTTTCAGAACTGCTACCTTCCCAGCAAAATGCGCCACACGTAGCCCGTTTTAGAAATTTGAGAACACTTTGTTCTTGCCATCTTCAACTTCAGCATTTCGTATTCAGGAGAGATGCCAGGATTCTTTTACCCGAGCTTGCAGTCTTGAGAAATGCCCACTCGAACGATGTGGGACGGCACGAACTCCAGAAAACGGTACGCGTTCTGGGGCGGAATAGTGCAGAGCGCGATGAATTTGTTTGGTGCGGAAGAGGGCTCCGACAAAGTCCGAAACCACTACGGCTTCAGTAACAAGTAGACATTGCGCAGGAAGGGTCGCACCGATGTTCGAACACAAAAAAACAGTGATTCCGACAGTCTGACTAAGACGAACAAGTCAGTGAAGTCACAAACATTGCGATCTGCGAAGCGTAAGTATAATAATTATGTAATACTAGTAATAGATCTCAGTCAGGGTTGGATCTGACACGGTAACACTGCTATTGCTAACAGCCACGGTATACGTACACTGGGTAATTCGAATATAATTAGGGATACCAAGAGTCCATAACCCCCCAGAGTGTGCAACTCCAGGTTGGGGTCTGGCGCAACGAAATCCAAACATTGCGTCATCCGGTCCCTGGGCAAGCATGGGCGGATGGGGCCATGTGCATATCTGGTACATCCGGCGGGGGTTCCAAGTAATAGTTGAAGGTTGCTTTGAAGCAAGCCACGGAAGTGTCACGTAAAACGTTTGCTCCACGGGTTATGCAGTGTCAGCAGAACGGCTTTGATTTCACAGTCACAGATTTTTTTATTTGAAGAGAGTTTCTCTGCTCGTTGTCTGAAAAGCTTGTATTGGGAGAGTTCGTGACTCCGGGATAGCAAGAATAGGCATGGATATAGATTTACAAGATTTGATGGAAATAGCTCTTGGCACACGGCATGAAGACCCGATCGATTTCGAAGTAGATGTGCTTCAACCTGCTCCTCAGTCCCATTTTGGTACAAGTAGTTCAACTGGGATGGTGTCCTCCACCATGTGTAACCCTCCTGATCCTACTCTTACTCCTGCTCCTCTTCCTGCCCCTGGTCTTGCTCCTGTTCCTGCTCCTGCTCGTCGCAAGAGGAGAAAGGCAAAAGTGAAAGCTTTGACTGCATCGCAGAAGAAATCGATCATTCATGCCCTGGAGAAGATTGATTTGGAGCAGTTATCCAGCGATGTTTCCAGCATTGTCTCATTGTCACTCAAAAGAGAAAACTGTTCGACAACTCTAAAATAATTCTTTGTGTACTTGAGCCTTTCCAGGCGTGTTACGTACAATACCTGGCCGTGGATTCGTAAAGAAAGACCCCAAATTGGGCAAACGGGCGAAGTAGGTCCGGGCCAAACTTCCCATTTCGTCATAGCTACTCACTACATGACGTATGAAGTTTGGATTTCGTTGCGGCACTGATTTGTGCTGAGAAGGATCACGAGTTGCACACTCTGGGGGGTTATGGACTCTTGGGGATACATGTAGTTGTTAGCAAACAGTGTCAGATTTTTGTCCATAAAATAATTACTCCATTTCGCCAAGATATTTAAAAAGTCTTCATGACGCCAAAAATTCTCCATTGGTAAAAGTATATCTCTGCAACATGGCAGTTTTGAATTCCTCAGAACACAAACCATGCTCCTGGCAACTGAATGCTCAAAGTGGATACTGATTCAAACGTCACAAAATCGTCAGGCGAAATTACTGGTCAGTCGGCGACACGCATTTTTCACAAAAATTTGAGTTTCACCTACTGGGAGAGTATGCGTGTACTCGAGTCTCATCCTGAGCACGTTTTTTCTTCTTTTTTTCAGCTCCAGTATAGCTGTATTTTTCATTGCAAAGCCGTCGACGCGTCCTCGATTGTTGTGTTCGTTGTTCAAACGAAGTGGACATTCAATCATGAAGGCAGAGGACATAGGAGCCTGATTGGAGTTTCTCGTGGCATAGAACGGCCACACAGAGATACTTTGGGATTTTCTGAATATAAAATACCGTACGCACGATGCTGAGATCAATTTGTGCGATATCAAATTGTTTGTGATCTACCACATCGAGCAGAACGGGATCCAAACACAAGCTTACCGACGGTTAGGCTGCCGACCTGACTGGACAAATGATCCCTGGCTGCACCAGACGCCAGAAGTCGGACACCATGTCCTTTGCCGCGACGTCCATCTCCAAAAAGAACTCCATCTTCGTCGTGAAAAGGCTTGAAATACTCAATATTCAACCGAGATTCGCGGTCTCACCCTTTCTCAGATCGAATCATTTTTTGTTGTAGCAGTTGCAGGGCAGATCCCTGCCACTACTTCAACAGGCGATGGCTCCAAAGCATGCCTGGAACAAGCCATATCGAGGTTGCAAGCCACCCCTCTCAGCAAAAAATTCGAAGAAATTCGAAATTTCAATGGTGGAAGATATACCATGAAGAGAATTTCAAAAAGTATGTTTCGCGGAGCGATCGCTCAACCTACGTCATTCAAACTTTGCAGGATGGTTCAGACGTACATGCTAGGCATAGAACCACAGGCGATGATGCCATAGCTGACACACAGAGTGACACACACAGCAGATTCGTGTGCACAGATACTAAATTAGTGGACGTCGTCATCTTCTTTCCCGCTGATCTCGAATGTACTATGACGTGCTATTTCGCCTGACGGGGGGTTTCAGTGCTTTTCGGACTCAACCTCCCTAACGAGTAATCGGTTAGGTGATTATTACAGTCGGATTTGATCGACTGGCTTAAAGGAGAAAACTTGGATTTTCGATATGCACAATCTACATTATCAGTAACCAAAAAAATACCCGACCGACCGACCCTGGTACGGATGAGTGAAGTGACCCGAAACAACGAATTAATTCTAGGTGGCCCCACTAGAAATCATCTGGGTGAGGCACACACTCAACAGCTGCATTAACAGTAACCAGACTAAAATCTGTAACTCCTTTCTGCCATCTGCAGTACAGTCGTTCGTGTGCCGTGCATTTATTCCAGTGACATCACTCTAACAGGCGCAATGAATGGTCACAGTCAGATAAAACAACTTCCCAGACTTGTTCTTCAAGGAAAGCCTCAACCTGGTTTACTAAGAACAAAATCTCCTAGCATTTATAGCGTCCCGTTAGACTCAGATCATGCACGATCACGGCAAAGAACATATTTAAATCTCGCTGAGAGCAAGCTACCTTTCTACTATAGTAATAGCTATTCATGTGTTCATTAATTACAACTAGAGATCACCTGGAGATGTATGGACCAGTAAACCGGCCGAGAAAGCAATGGAGATGCGTGGCGATCCCAGAGCAGCCTGGAGTCACCTGCAGACAGTATCACCATGTACTGTAGTGGAGAAGCTTGCAGATCCCAGCTCACCATGTCCCGAAGGGCATACAAGGTACACAGCAAGTATACATGTACATACTGTGCACCCTGGCTAATGACTTCTCAAATGTTTACACTGTGCCATGGGGTTTTCCCTCAGCTAGACTATACTGATGACACTGTGCCATGGGGTTTTCCCTCAGCTAGACTGATTACACTGTGCCATGGGGTTTTCCCTCAGCTAGACTGATTACACTGTGCCATGGGGTTTTATCTCAACTAGAACTCCTACAATCTATGGTGTTGTATTTAATGTCCGGGACTTTGTCATGTGTTTTATGGCTGATGGTGCTACCTTTAGTTGTACTTGTGTGATTTCAGTGCATCATTCCACCTTGTGGGTGCTCCGCTTGTGTTCTGGATTTCATTAGATTTGTGTGTCTGTCGGATACGCATGGATTGTCCAAGCATTTCCAATTTGAAGTGCCATGGGGCCATGTTCTCCTGCATGCTGGTGACTTCACTGATGTTGGCCAGCCCAGTCAGGTGAAAGAGTTCAACGACTACCTTGCCGGGTTGCCGCACGAACACAAGATTGTCATTGCTGGAAATCATGAACTGACTTTCCATTCGGAGCAGTGGGACGGCTTCCAGGCGAAGTCTCGTTTCACCGTGCATTTGCCGGAGCTGAAGGAAGCGACGAGTGATGGTGTCAAAGCTCTCTTGAAGGACTGCACGTACATCGAGGATGCTGAAGTAATTGTCCGTGGCTTTCGCATTTACGGCTCGCCATGGTGAGGCTTACCATCATAATACTACAAAGCAAAACTGTGGAATATTATCCCACAGTTTTGCTTGATATTCGTTCCTGATGCCTGTTTCCATGGACGTGCGGTTCAGTCTTATACGGTCTTATACGTTATACCAAAAGTAGATAAACAAGAGTGTGCAACTCCGGATCTCTTCTGCACCATCTGCGGCGGAATTTTTTGTTGACGTCACCTTTTCAGAAAAATGCGCATTTTGCCACAGAGCAGTGTGAGAGCACGTGCTGGGCACCGACCTTGTAATGTAAAGCCCGGTCAAGTGCACGAGGCAAAACTTGCAAAAGACTCGCAGCGCGTGCGTCGTAGAAAAGATTACGTCAACAACAGATTCCGCCGTGGGCCAACCCATCCCAGAGTTGCACACTCTTATTTATCTGCTCTTGGTTATACTTTGCATGTTTGCAAGGACCTTGGTCTACGGGTTGTGATGGTTTACAAGCAGACTTTTGAATGTATCCGACATGGCTTCATCCAATGCCAAACTGCCTGTGTGCAATGCATGTTTGTTGCCCCAGGCAGCCAGAGTTCTGTGACTGGGCATTCAATCTGCCCCGCGGCGATGCTTGCCTAGAGAAGTGGCAGAGGATCCCGTCGAACATTGACATCCTGATGACGCACGGCCCGCCCGTTGGATATGGTGACCTTGTCGACTCTAACGGCTTACGAGCAGGCTGTGTGGATTTGCTGCGTGAGATACAGCATCGCATCAAACCCAAATTCCACGTGTTTGGGCACATTCATCAAGGTAAGGTCACCAATGTGACGGTGCTATGGAGGTTGTGCAAGAACTATCCAGCATAGCAATGGAGAGGTGCAGAACAAGTTTTCTTAGTGGCGGGTGAGAAGCACAGATAAAAAAGACGAATCTAATATAGATAGCGGCAAGAGTACATAACCCCCAAGAGTGTGCAACTCCAGCTATGGGGTCTGCGATGGCAGACCTTCAGATCATGCCATGAATCCATACACATTATTTACACTCTGTGCATGATTGATACAGGGTTGTACACAACCCAGCTTTGGGTACAACTCTTTTGTACGAGGTGATTTGGCTTTTTTTTAACATAGTTGTAAAATGTTTCTTCAGAATTCCCAAACTCCATTGCAGCGTCTTTCTTGCATTTGAAAAATATCGCCATTCCAGCTACAGGCTCTCAGCTGCACCAAATAGATAAATAAATAACTTTGCCAATATTTCGCCCATTGGGCATCATCAGGGCATTGAGGAAGGGGAGGCAAAAACCCGAAATATATAGACGAATAATGCAGGCAGATGAATGTTCTAGAACTAACACATCGTGGTGACACAATTGGCAAGGCTAGCAAACTAAACAATCATCACTTGTAAGGTGACCTAAACAGAACGAAACAAGAGAAAACTCACACATACACACAGACACAATTTGGCAAGAAGGCAAGAAAACTAACACTAACACTAAAGTTTACAATCATCACCTGTCAGGTGACCTAAACAGAAGAAAGTAGATAAGACTATCACAGCACGTACAAGAACACTTTCAAGTGTGGGAATGCTAAAGGCGATCTATGTATATGACAAGTGTATGTGCACCTTGAAGTACTTCAGCATGTGTATGTGCTGTGTCAGGTGGTAAAGTCCAGTGGTAGTTCTGCCCTTCCACCAGGCAAAGATTCTCGGCAGGGAGGCTTCGCTACCATCAAGCAAACTGCTTGAAGCTATCGAGATAAGGAAGCGCAAACCAGCAGTCAATTGCGATGACGGTTGGCGCCTAATTGACTGATTGGATGATACCGGATCGTCACTGGAATCGACGCCCATCTCCTCGAACTACCACTGGATTTTACCACCTGACACAGCACATACACATACTGAAGTACTTTGCACATACACCTGTCATATACATAGATCACCTTTAGCATTCCCACACATCAATGTTCTGAAGTTGATAGATATCACTTCAAGGATTGCTAGTGGATGAAAATTAATCTCTCAACTACATTGTATGCTGCGAAAGCTGTGTTTTTGAATTTGTAACTAGTGGCTGTGTCATACGGTAGAATTGGATAGGTAGCATAGCATCGCAGCCATGTTTTCGTTCTCACAAAGTGTATTCCGTGACCTACTGTTCTTGATTATTGTCTTTAGTGATGGCAAGACGGCCTGACCTCATCCAAAGGCCCTGCGGAAGCAATTCACTGCCCCCCCCCCCCCCCCCCCCCCTCGTCCATTCAGGGGCTTATTTTACACAGTTTACACAAAATGGCAAAGCACCCACCACTATTTATACTGACGTGGCAGGGAGAATTAAATTATATGCACCAAATTTTCTGGCCAATGTTGATCTACGATAAACTGGCTCTCTTTTGCCACCACCCATGTTTCGATACAGCTATCCGGAGCAGAGAAACAGCCAGAAGGGAAGCAAATTTTACACATTTGTTAAAATATGCCGAATGTTAAAAAAAGCCAAATCACCTCGTAGTCACTTTGCACTGTTTGCCAGTGTAACCTTTTGAACCATGTCACGTGATGTGAGCCTTGCCGTCGCAGCACTGCATAGAGGTTGTGCAGGCAGTTGCACACTCTTGGGAGTTATGTACTCTTGCTTGATAGCGGGGATGTGCATCACTGTGCTACAGTGAGTTTATTTTTCTAATTTTCTTTAAAACGATTTGTTTATCATGGGTCGTGCCTGTGTCCGGTCCTACAGAGATAACGGGGATGTGGTGGTGGTGGCGGAGGCGGCGGCGGCGGTGGTGGTGGGGAGTGTAACGTCAACACCAGACTGGGAACAAGGGGGGGGGGGATTCATAGCAACAATGAGCAATGGGCACTGGTGGTGATTTATGAAATTCCGTTTTCATAGCTGGGCGCTGCTTGCTCGCATATTCTGACAGTTTGTAGTAGTGTCCGTCTCACCCGACTGTAGTGTGCAGATATCAATAGTTTTCGTTTTACGCAATCTCTATTGAAAATTCGTAAGAAGTTCCCAGTTTTGAGCGGGGATTGTCTACGAAGGAAAACCCACTGGAGCATTATATGACTTGCACATCACTGCTTAGTCTCTTCGCCACGATGCAGGTACTTCAGTACTTGCATGATTCAGGTGCACTATGAATGAATTGCAAATCTCTTTGGGGCCACGCCAGTATGTTCCATTCCTGAAAGATGTCCCCGATGAAGTTCATCTACTGGTGCTGCTTGCTTTGTGCCGTTGAAATCAATATGCCTGTCTTCTTCGACCATCGTGTTTCTCCATACAATTGTATAGCCGGTTGTAACGCGGATGTGCCAACTTTGCTTTACTTCTTCAACCATCATGTTTGTGTGTCTATGCAGCGTACGGCATCACCACAGATGGCGTGACAACGTACATCAACGCTTCCAATTGCGACATAAGATACTGTCCGCGGCAAGTGCCGATCGTTTTTGATCTGCCAAATCCGACCGAGTCTGCAGCCGAGTGAATGGCTGCTAAGGTGAACACAGTCAGCCAGTGACAGAACTGACTTGTTTGTAGCCATTGCTTGTAGGACACTGGGCCTGGTCGAGTAGAAAGAGAGTGGGTCCGCGGGACCATCGGCCTGCATGCCTGCTCATTCACTGGCATAGGATTGGCCAGTGTAGCTGGCTTCTGCTTGTTTGGATGCTACGCAAAGTCAGGGACCAACACGTATACCCATTCTGAGCTGGTTTTCAGAGGTTTGCTCTGGAAGAAATCCCTCGCAGAGCGTGAATAAAGTCTATCCCATGTACATACAAACACTAGTAGTCTTTGCTTTTATGGATATCTAATTCCGTACAATGCATTCATGGCCTACATGTACTTCAAGTATCACTTTACGGAGGATTTTTTCATTGATAGTGCTTCTGCCAGATTGCCTGGTACGACTACCACGGAGGATTGATAGTGCTTCTGCCAGATTGCCTGGTACCACTACCAAGGTATCAATATACTTCAGTAATACACAAGAGAGAGATTGGAAGCTTTGTTGCAACTCTGAGTTTCACGTATTACTACGATCATCAGGTGACTGATGGATCCAAAACGGGCGGCCAGAACATGAGGGGGAGCAAGGTGGGAAATTCTTAGGGGTATCATAGGCGACGCGTATCATAGCGCAAGAGTCAGGTCCTGGCGTGAAGTTGCCAAGTCTTCAGACTTGGGGCTATGCAGCAGCAGTTCGGCGTGAATGATATTATAGAATAGAGCTGGGGACTTAAGGGGGTTCGGGACAGTTAGGCCCAAAAATTTAATTTCAACATCAGCCCAATCTGACATCAGGTTTGAATAGGTACAGCCTTATATTTTCGCTTAGTAACATCAGTTTTTCAATTGCCCGAATAGGTCTTGCCAAAAACACAATTTTCCTTGATGACACAAAATAACACAAAATCCCAAAATTGATGAGAAATCGTCCATAACATCAGTTAGGACAGAAAATATGACCTAAAATTGTACAGACTGTTCGAGGTATTGACTAAGATGATATCAACACCGAAAAATGTACACTTTGGTTGACGATGGGATCCAGGTCGTCATTTCCTGGAGAAGAACAAAAAGACGCAAAAAATGAAACTTTGAATATTTTTTGCAGCTTATTTTTGAGTTTGCCCCATAATTATGTGGATACTTCAAATACGTTCTATAAGTGGGTTGGAACAGGTTTACCGCGGCGAAAATAAGGGTCACCGTGCATATTCTGGAGAAAAATCCAAAAAACTGTCCAAATTTGCCTAAAATTGGTAAATTCACGTATCTATATTGCTTGTACTTCTCTGCTGCTGCTTTGGTCATAACTTATTGGATTTTTGGCTGTTAGGTGTTGCATAAACTCACTAGAGCCCTCGGCGTTCAGAACAATACAAGGATGGAATAGCTGAACTAGTAAATTTGCCGGAAAACCCTGGGTGCACGCATTATCGATAGGTACTTTTCTCCATGATTACTCTCCTGTTGGCACTTGGTTGTGATACATGTACATGTAGCTGTGATAGCGCTTAGCACTGCCCCATATCAAACTACAATGAAAGCTGGCATGTTGGAACGAATCAGACATCATTGAGTCCTCTTGTTCTTCAACTATGCGAGCTAGAACGTGTCCCAACACTGGCAAAAATGATGGTAACATTTTACGGTGTGCACAAACAAGTGAAGCACTGTGCCACAGGGCGTTCCTTACAGTTGGGTTGCTGCTGGTTCTTCGCTAGGTGTTCAGCCACCGCTAATATAATCTTCCTTGAGACTGTCAATCGCTTCTTACCTCCGACTTGCTCCTTCATCAGTCTGGAAATGGCTGGCTCACCACTTCGTTTGTAGGACAAGACAAAGTGCTTCATCACCAACCCACTGGCAGCTGCCCGCACTGCAACTGATTTAGAGAAGCACGTTGCTTGGACCAACGGTTGAAGGGTGGCCAGCCGCTTTTGCTGATGTTCTGCAAACTCCTGAGTTCGAACCCGTACGCGATGGAGGCAGGAGCAAATTTTGGAGCTCCTGCTCCATCCATGTTTTGTTTCAAAGTATCGAAAGATTGGCCTTCTGACCATAAGTTTATACTGCAGGAACTGTCTGGCAATTCCTTAAACGTGAAAGAGTCTGTCAAGCAGATTGATCTGCATGGGAAACCTGGTTGGTGCCAAGTCACACTTTCAAGTAGAGCTCAGCGCGAGACGGTTTTGAGCAAGGGACTTTGCATACGAGGTGAGCAGTTGGAACTGCATCTCCCCGACGAGGGCTCCACTCAGCTCCATGTGTTTGGTTGCCCTGTCGGAATGCCTGATGGCCCACTTTCGGCATCTTTGTCGGTTTTCGGCAAGCTCATTGGTCCGCCATCACACGGCAAGATCAGCTTCGAAGGCACGTCCTTCAAGACAGGAATCAGGTACGTCAATATCGTACTGTCTAAACCCGTACCGTCGTGTGTGACCGTTGGGAAGAGAAAGTTGCGGGTGTGGCACAGGGGGCAGACCCAGACGTGCTGGCGCTGTGGCACAACGGGTCATGAAGCACGAGAGTGTAAAGTAAGGGCGGGCAGAGAGCCTGAAAGTTCAAGTCGTACTAACAGTAACTCTAGTTCTGAACCTTCAGATTCTGTACCTCAGTTGACCTGCGAACGTGGGAGTACCCGTACGAATTGCGTAGGTTCAAACTCTGAAGTGAACTCCAACACATCCCAGCACGGTGACAGTGTATCTAGCATACCCACTACACGCACAAAAGCACAGCAACCTACATCCACGCTGAGTATGGCCAGTGCTACTGCGGGCCCAAGCACGGAGGACGTCATCCAGGTACCTGAGGCAGTGACAGTACGAGCTTCAGAACACCATGACACAGCCGTACCAGTCCCACCTGCCGCGGGAAACGTAACTGAACCCGGTGGTAAAGGAGACAACACAACTCCCCAGAAACCTTTTGTGGCTGCATCTTCTAACGACCACGTGCAACACAACAATAGCCTTGCGTCCAATACAAATGCAGTACATGTAACCGGTACTGAAGCAGCTGTAACTTCCACTCCAGCTCCTGGATCTTCTGTCCCTACCCCGGTGCAAGATTGGCACGTCGCAGGTGGAAAGTGTTCTACTTTTTCTCCAATAATCTTGCAACAAACCGCCTCCGCTTTTCCCTCTGTCCCGAACCGCTTTAGTGCGCTGGAGCACTCCATGGAGAGGAAGCGTAAGCGAGGAGCCAGGAGTGACGCATCATCCAGTGCCGACTTGTCCGCGAAGGCTGTCTGCCCGACCACCAAGACAGACGACTTCTATGGTACCGGGTCGGACTGGGAGGAAGAGTGTGAGGGTGACGACGGCCGCGGTAGGAGCCGTCATGAAGTGGTGCAGTGAACTGCACCTTGAAATAGTATGCTTGAACTGCCTGTGTATTTTTTGTTTTAGGTTTTGGATTAGTTTCTAGATGTAGTTCTTCCTTATAGATCTATTAAATGAATCCACAATTACATAGAGCTACTGTCGGTCGACAGAAGTCTTGTAAACTTGCTTTTCTGAATGTATGCAGCCTTAGAAAGAAGTTAGGCGAAATCCAAAACTTCATAAACTACCACAATGTAGATATCTTCGGCATTGCTGAAACTTGGCTTGATTGTTCGATTTCTGACTCATCCATTCATATACCTCATTATAGACTCTTTAGGCGCGATCGCGGGCACAGACCTGGTGGCGGTATAGCTGTATACAGTCGAGATACCCTGGCTGTTTCCAGACACGCTGAACTCGAGAGTGACACAATCGAAAATCTGATACTCACCTTGAAGACAGAATCCGGTGAACCCATCACCCTCGCTACGTTCTACCTTCCGCCTTCCACTACTGCTGCAGTATGGCAAGACCTAGAAATCAGTCTGAACAATCTAACCTTGCGACGAAACAACCGCGTGGTCGCCATTGGTGACTTCAATGTGGACATGTGCTCGGGACACAGCCGGATGCACACCATGCTCCAGCGGTTTGATCTGGAAAACCACATCCGGACACCGACAAGAGTAACGGCATCAACTTCCACCCTAATAGATCTGCTCCTCGCCCCTAACTCTCTAGTTGGAACATGCACGGGCGTCAAGTGTGACATCAGCGACCACTACGCATTTGTGGCCAACATTATCGTCGCCACCCGGCAGTCCGAACGAGTCGCATCTCGAAAGAGGCGAGTGTGGAGGATAAATTGGGAGCATTTTAACGCTGACTTGCAGGACTGCAATCTTGAGATTTTCAGCAAGTCGAATGATGTTGATGCAATGATAAGCGAATGGTACGCAAAGGTTTTTACTGCTCTAGATCGTCACGCCCCCTTACAACCTCCTCGTAAGCCGAGGCGCCGACCTTGCCCATGGTTGTGTCCTGAACTTGTATCTGCTGTGCGTCAACGAAACAAGGCCCACCGACTTCTTTCATGCTCTCCAAACGATGTCCGCCTGCGAGAGCAACACCGCACTCTCCGCGCAGCCGCGCGCAAGCTAGATCGGAGGCTAAGGGATCAGTATTTTCAAGCTCGCCTACAGTCGGCCGGAAAGGATGGACGGAAGCTCTGGAATACGATACGCGTGGTGACTGGACGAGCGAAAAGTTCAAGCCCACCACAAGTACCTGTTGGAATCCTCTCCCGAACTTTTGGCGAAGTTGTACATGACCCTGGACGACCAGACGCGCTGTGCGCCAACGCACCAGCCGAACGTGAAGCACCAGCATTCACGGAATTTGCGCCTGTTTCGACGGAGGACATTACGGCCCTTCTCCAGTCCGTTGACGCGTCAAAAGCAACTGGACATGATGACTTGCCGGGTATTGTCCTTAGAAACTCGGCATCAATACTGGCTCCCTCGCTCAGCATCATTTTCAATACTTCGTTATGTCAGGGGTGTGTTCCCCGTCAGTTTAAAATTGCTAATGTGTCGCCGCTATTCAAAGGTGGCGGCCTTGAGTCCTTGACCCTTGTCAGCCTACTGCGTATCGACCTATTTCTCTACTACCAGTCGTTTCTCGCCTCCTCGAGAAGATCGTCAAAGCTCAGCTTACATCCTTTCTGACCGATCACAGTATTCTCCCTGACTCGCAGTTCGCGTACAGGAAGAACCACAGTACGGAGGACGCTCTTGTGCTAGCTGTCAATCGCTGGCTGAAAGCGAAGTATGAGCGCAAACTCACAGGTGTGATATTCGTGGATATGTCGAAGGCTTTCGACTGTGTCAAACACACCATCTTGGCACAGGAGCTATCCGACATTGGGGTCGGCGGTACTGTCCAGATATGGTTCACTAGTTACCTGAGTGAGCGGCTTCAACGCGTAGTCGTGGGCGGAAATTGCTCGGAATACGTCGCATGCAGTCGAGGGGTGCCGCAAGGATCCGTCCTCGGCCCCCTCCTGTTCACACTATACATCCGTAACCTTCGATGCTGCTTGCCCCAGCAGGTCACAAACCAGGAATTTGCAGACGACATTGCAATTGAAGCCTCGGGCAGTTGCGAA